TTTAGGAGGGGAGTCTGGAATTATTATTTATTGCATATCTATGTATCACCTATGTATACCTAAAATATGTCATGTATAGCTGTATTATAAGTAAAAATATAATAAACACTAAACAGGAACATTTATACAGTCCATTAATTAAAATAATAAACAGGGAAACTTTGTTTGGTCCGGTAAAAAGCATGACGTTGTGATGAATACAATAAATTATACAACTTTTTAATGGATGTTCTTTATAATATTTTGACATTTACATACAGTWTAGGTATTTACTATTTATACTATTAATTTTGATRTCTTCGTGAACGTAGTTCGTTTAGTCATTCGCCCCACGCATAGACAAAATATATTTATGCGGAATMATTTTTTTATGTTATTGAATAATCTTAGAGTAAAATCAYCCATAGCAAAATCAATATAGAATTATTAAAATAGGCAATAACATCGATTTGTCTAAATATTGTCTCAAAATAATTAAAACATCATTTAAATGTACAAAAAGAATTTACAGAAAGTCGAATACTAAGTAAAAAATAATTAAATTATATAACAGATGTCATAGTTTCAAAAATATTATCTCCAACATTTTTTTGTAAAAAGATGATTTKACACAAAGATTACTCAAAAATCATAAGAAAATGTTTAGGTGAAAACGTTTTATCAATGTTGTGCCTAAGTCTAAGAAGGAAAACTAATATTGGGCTGACATCTTCTTAACAATCAACGTCTACTAAAAACAAAATTAATAGTTATGAAGTCTTGCTATAATTATTTTTTTTAATAAAAGGCAAATTAAAAAAAAAAAAAATTATGAAGTCCAATGCGCTAGAAAATACATTAATAACTTTTTAAGTTTTAAACCATATTATATCATAAAAGTACGTTGTACATCAGTTTTAATAGCTAATGATTAAACATTTAATAAACAAAGTTTCTCTTAAATTGTATTTAAAGAAACTTGTAGTAATTACTAATTTTAAAAATACATAATATGCGCAGTTTTTTTTTATAGTTATTAGTCACAAAAATTGTAAATAACACAAAACAGCCAAAATATTTTGAAATTTATACAATATTTTACTTTTCGTACTTTCGTAGCAATAGTAAATTTCATCGATTATGTCAAAAACTGCAGGTTTTACACACACAAAGGTAAATAATTTTCTTTTTCAAACATAGCTTTTCTCGATAAAAAAAGTACAGTTTTAGACATTGGTGTAATACTAAAAACCAGATGCACATTCAGAGCACAATTTATTTTTATTTATGTAAATTAAAAATTGAAATAAATCAAATARTTTCGTATTATTTATAGAGATACTTTAAAATAGAATAATACAACAACTATAAATTTAGTACTTATTTAATCATCAKAWATAAAATATTTAATACCAGTACTAGGTATATTAAACCACCATTCAAAATCATTTAATCCGAAAAGTATTAAGAAATAACTGTGGTTTTAAATATAAAGGTTTTGATAATCAACCATTATTTGATTATTTGTTTCCCTATCATTTGAAAATCAGTGATTGATTAGGGAGTCTTATCACTTATCATATTCATTATGTGCATGAAACCAGACAGTAAATAAAAACGGTTTATATCACTATATAGTATATGTATTTAATAATATATTACTGTCTTGTGTAWAGTGCAAACTGCAAACGTGCAATGTGAACGTGAAACATCAAATAGTAACTTAAAGTATCAAAATTAAACAAACAAGTTGCTTATCAAAAATTCAGGATTTCTATTCATCGCTTCACGATTTTCAAACACTACGTATCCTTCATCAAACAATGAGAGATTGTGAATCCGAATCGTTACTGTCATTCGACTCGGCTACTAAAACTCGAAAAAAAGGTATCGTGTACTTGTCGTCAATACCGAAGTACATGAATGTAACTAAACTGCGCGAACTGTTGGGTCAATACGGTGATATAGGCAGAGTGTTTCTACAGCCAGCTTCGAATCGTAATACACTAATACATGATCATTATAGTTGATGGTGCATTTTTAATAGTTTTTAATTTTCATCGACATTTGTACTGTTTTCAGCGAACCTAAAAAAAAGACCGGCCAAACATTTCACCGAGGGTTGGGTAGAATTTGAACGGAAAAAGGTGGCCAAACAGGTCGCAGAATTACTCAATGGCAAGCGAATCGATTCCAGAAAGCGTAGCAAATATTTTGACAGTGTGTGGAATTTAAAATACTTACCTAGGTAATGTGCATAGTAGTTCATTAATATTGCATGTAACTGTGTCTTATATCAAACATAAATGCCCACAATATCATTATTTTGGTATATCATATTTCATATTTTTCTAATGTTTATTTTCAGGTTCAAATGGGTCCATTTAAATGAACGCTTAGCTTATGAAAAAGCTGTACGCAAACATCGTTTACGTGCCGAAGTATCACAAGTAAAAAGGGAAGCAAATCACTTCTCCTCTAATATTGTTAGAAGTGAAAAGAATAAGTTATATCAACAATCAAATGTCGATTTTAATGTTCGGCAAAGATTGCCAGAGGAAGAATTTTTACAAAACAAAAACAGTATACCAGATATTGAATCAAGAACAGACTTTTTATCAAAACTTTTTGATTAGTATTTTTATATTCATACATAATTAATACATGTAAATAAATATAATTTAAAATTTTAATTGATTTTTAAGGCCAATGTGGCCAGCTTGTTTGCCATTATATATGTTGTTTCTTTTTTTCTATATCTTTTTGCCATTGGAACAATTCTCCCATTTTGTTGATGGACTTTAATATGATTTTCTAAACGACTTTTTCGAGTAAATACCCAATCACATCCTATGACACTGCATTTGTGTGTTCTTTCTTTGTGACACATTTGAACATGATTGTACATATACCTATACTCAGCAAATGTTTTACCACATCCTGGCTGTGTACAAACATAGTTGGGCATGTGTTGTTTAACATGCAGTTTTATTTGAGACTTAAGAATAAATTGTTCGTTACAATGATGACACTCAAAAGGTTCAGAGTGGTGAGTGGCCAAGTGTCGTTGATAAAATGACCAACTGAATTTGTGTTCAGACAGTGTACATGATGGGATGTCACATTTGAAACGTTTGTGTTTAAATGAATGGACTTGGAGATTATCGATGTTGAAAAACCTTCGGCCACAAGTCTCACAGCTGTACGGTCTATTGCGTACTTTAGGTGTCTTTATTTTGGCTTGATGTCTGCGGAGACCCCATGCTGTGTTAAACGGTCGGTCACAGTGATCACAAAACAACGGTTGTTCTAATCTCGAATGATTTTGATGAGCCTCGGCAAAATGTCTCTGCAAGTGCTGACGTCGATGGTAACCGCGATCGCATTGGGTGCATTGAAATTGTTTGATGCCTTGATGTCGTTGAATATGAATTTGTAAACGGTATGGACGACTGAATGTAGAAGTGCAATCTTCATACGGACACGGATGTATGGCCATGATCCAAATGGCCGTTAACTGGTTGTGAATGTTAAATTAGGTATCACTTTGAACAAGAAAAATCCAGTCATAGCAGTAAAAATAATGTCTTAAGGACCAAAATGACATTAATGTATTCAAAACGTTAATAACTCGTTTAACATGTCTATGGCTGAAATTATTATCGGCTTAGGCTTAATAATATCACATAAATACATAATATTCAATACGAATGAGTGATTACTGATTACTTATACTATAAATCATAAAACGTATAGCATTTGTCATTTGATAATATTTAAATTTCAAGCAGCAAGCTCGGACTAAAACAAGCGAATCGGAATGAAAATTAATTGGTGCCAGGAGAACGGAAATTTATTGGAAACGACATACAAGTATACAACTGATATGACATAAAGTAACGACAAACGAAGAAACGAACTTACGACTTAACGACTTACGAGCAACCACCGCTGAAGCGCCTATATAGCTAACATAATATGTAATATTATTACACTGATACAGAACAACATACACTATGGAATATAGATAGCAGTTCCCTTTTCATTGAAGTCGGCCGCCATTAATTATAAAGCAGGCAATGTTAACATTGTTAACAAGACAATGTTATCACAATACATATAACATTATTATCTGTGCACGGTTACATAGAGATAGAGTATTACCACAGAATATCATGGCAATGCTTTAGATAGCCTAAAGCCGTGCCACAGATTATATAAAATATTTATAATTTATAATTTTTTATAATTTTATATAATCTGTGGTACAGGCGTACAGCCAGTGGCATAGTTATGGGAGGTGGATGATGGGGATAGATCCCCCCTAGAGCATTTTTTTTAATGTTTAATTTTAATGCATTGACTTATATACTGATATAAGATTATTTGGTTAATGGTTATGAAATTACCCAACTCAGAGGACAGAGGCGTATTTAGGCACAGGGCCTAGAGCGGCAACATTGGAGGGCGGCAAATTTCAACGATTTTTCTTCACAAAATTATAAAAAGTATTTTTCATTTTATGAAATCAAACTCAACTAATTTTTATTCGCTCAAAATTAATCATCTATCTACATGTAGTACCTACAACTATATTATACACATACGCAACTCAGTACGAGCACATGGATAACAAAACACGCGCATTCAATGCGGGTTCGATTTCTTATAACTTATAATAAAGATGGAATTTTATTGTACGTAATAATTAATTTGTTGCAAGTATGAGGGGGGGGGAGGAAGGCTGCGAATTATTGGAAAGTGCCTATGGGCGGAAAAACCTTAAATACGCCACTGGCTATATTATGTCATAAATTATAATCACGAATATAATTCACTTATCCAATATTATATAGAATCGATTGAATGGATTAACCATGTTAGCTGTCACAGAAATGTACACATTGACACAGAGGAAATAATTAACGAGTTAGCTAAAAAACCAAGAAAATTGGATATTATTTTGTAAATTATAGTGTTATAAATGTTTAGTTTTCATTTTAGATTCTGAACGAAGTGATGAATGTATGATGTGTGTTTTTTTTTTTGTGTCTGTGTACAGCATAACTAGTCGAAATAATGCTTCAATTTCAAACTTAGGGGGTAGTTTCCGATGTAAAAGTGAATATCCTTGGTAAATTATAAAGGTCAAAAGTAAACATTTTCCAATAGTTTTCAAAAAAATCGAGAATAACAAAAAAAAATGACAGAAAAACGGGAATTTTTACGCAAAACCAGTTTTCGACCAAATCTATTTTTTTTATATGGTTGTAATTCAAAAACTAATCACTGTAAATACTTGAAATTTTCACCAAATGTTTATGTTAGTGTTATCTATATACAATTTAATTTTCACAAATTTTTGACTCTTTTTGAGTTATTTATAGACCACTGAAATTTTCAATTTTTTTTTGAAGTGTCGGTAAAAAAATGTTGGACAACCAAAAAAACTTGAAAATTTAATACAAGGTTCCTTATGAGTTGTTCTTATTGTAGCTAGAAAACATTAAAAATCGTAAGTCACAATTTTTTTTTATAACCGTTTATAGTTCAAATTTTTACGAAATCTGTCGAAAACGCGAAAATTTGCAAGAAATTCTTGCAATCTTAAAATTTTTTGTGTTTATAACTAAGG